ATATGTTAGATATTCTTAAGATAATATGTTAGATATCCCTAAGATAAGACGTGAGACATGCCTAAGATAAGATGTGGACATCCCTAAGATAAGATGTGAGATATGCCTAGGATAATGTGTAAGACATGCCTAAGATAAGATTTAAGATATCCATAAGATAAGACGTGAGACATGCCTAAGATAAGATGTGGACATCCCTAAGATAAGATGTGAAACATGCCTAAGATAAGCTGTGAGATATACCTAAGATACGATGTAAGACATCCCTAAGATAAAATGTAAGACATGCCTAAGATAAGATGAAAGACATGCCTACGATAAGATATCAGACATGCCTAAGATAAGATGTGAGACATTCCTAAGACAAGATGTAAGACATACCTAAGATAAGATGTAAGACATACCTAAGATAAGCTGTGAGACATGCCTAAGATAAGTAGTAAGACATGCCTATGATACGATGTATGACATGCCTAAGATAAGTAGTAAGACATGCCTACGATACGATGTATGACATGCCTAAGATAAGATGTGAGACATCCCTAAGATAAGCTGTGTTATATGCCAAGTATAAGATGTTAGATATCCCCAGGGATGTGTTCCTGATATCCCTAAGATAATATGTGAGACACGCCTAAGATAAGATATGAGACATTCCTAAGATAAGTAGTAAGACATGCCTACGATACGATGTATGACATGCCTCAGATAAGATGTGAGACATCCCTAAGATAAGTTGTGAGATATGCCTAAGATACGATGTAAGATATGCCTAAGATAAAATGTAAGACATGCCTAAGATAAGATGCAAGACATGCCTACGATAAGATATCAGACATGCCTAAGATAAGATGTGAGACATTCCTAAGACAAGATGTAAAACATACCTAAGATAAGCTGTGAGACATGCCTAAGATAAGTAGTAAGACATGCCTATGATACGATGTATGACATGCCTAAGATAAGTAGTAAGACATGCCTATGATATAATGTATGACATGCCTAAGATAAGATGTGAGACATCCCTAAGATAAGTAATAAGGCAGGCCTACGATATGATGTATGACATGCCTAAGATAAGATGTGAGACATCCCTAAGATAAGTAATGAGGCATGCCTACGATATGATGTATGACATGCCTAAGATAAGATGTGAGACATCCCTAAGATAAGTAATAAGACATGCCTACGATACGATGTATGACATGCCTCAGATAAGATGTGAGACATCCCTAAGATAAGTAATAAGACATGCCTACGATATGATGTATGACATGCCTAAGATAAGATGTGAGACATCCCTAAGATAAGCTGTGTTATATGCCAAGTATAAGATGTTAGATATCCCCAAGGATGTGTTCCTGGTATCCCTAAGATAATATGTGAGACACGCCTAAGATAAGATATGAGACATTCCTAAGATAAGTAGTAAGACATGCCTACAATACTATGTATGACATGCCTCAGATAAGATGTGAAACATCCCTAAGATAAGTAATAGGACATGCCTACGATATGGTGTATGACATGCCTAAGATAAGATGTGAGACATCCCTAAGATGAGCTGTGTTATATGCCAAGTATAAGATGTTAGATATCCCCAGGGATGTGGTCCTGATATCCCTAAGATAATATGTGAGACACGCCTAAGATAAGATATGAGACATGTGGACATCCCTAAGATAAGATGTGAGACATTCCTAAGATAAGTAGTAAGACATGCCTACGATACGATGTATGACATGCCTAAGTTAAGATGTGAGACATCATTAAGATAAGATGTAAGACATCCCTAAGATAATATGTAACACATCCCTAAGATAAGCTGCGAGACATCCCATTTGATAAGATTTAAGACATGCCCGAGATAAGAAGACATGCCTAGAATATTATCAATAACATGCCCTTATGCCTTACTTAATAAGATGTGAGACATGATAAGCATTTGCCCACCTGTCCTTGTTAAGGGTTCTCTCTACCAATACCAGAATTAACCCCTCAATATTAGTCCATACTAAACCAGGTCAATCATTGACAAGCAAGCGTAACACTGTGTTACAGTGTTACGATTATATAGGGCAAAGAAGTAATTCCAACAGTGTGGACAAGTTTAGGTTGTCAAATTTCCGGAGCGATCCGCTCCTTTATCAAGACACAGTGTTACGATTATACATATATCCCTCTACATATATTCACTAAGGCTATTTGAATAAATTGACATGAACATTACGACCACTTAAAACGAGATAAATTTTATAATTAGTGTGGATTGTACATGCAATTTCAGCTTTTGATGTAAATAATCAACAAAATGTTTGCATAAAATAATGACTGGTTGCATTAAAACACATATCCAGATATATTCAATCACATGGCAAAATGTAACGTCAACAGGAAATAAGATACTGTGAACACAATCAAAAGACCTTTTGAATTGTGATATAGCAAGAAATCCATAAAAAGTATAAATGGATGTATAGGTGAACAACCATGGTTTATGTCCCCTCAACACCTTCACATTCTTACATTCGTTACATAATCAGTGTCAAAAAAACACGACCACATTTCGTAAATTACCTAAAATATCAAACAAATTTATAATGGAATTGCTTCCATATACAAACACTTAATCAACAAACGTATTCATCATGTGCTTCTAATTAATATTGCAAAATTGAATTGAATATTTCTTGCATTGTCCAAGATAAAAAAGATCCCAAGATCTGATAAATATTATTTTTTATCAATGCTTACACATTAAAATAGAAGCTTTTATAAAATGCTTGCTTTGAACCAAATCTTCATATGAAAATATTTTCTCAAAAGTTACAGTTCACCAACAATTTTAGAAAAATGATATGGTAAAAATAAAATATTTCTCACAGGTACATAAAAGTGTACAAACTCTGTAATGTGCTGCTGTCTCAATAACCGAGAGATTTCAGATTTCAGGAAACAAACTTGGAACATTTGATTTTTACAAAATATCATACATTTGTTAGTTCATGGTTAATGTAGTTTACCAGTGCAAGGGAGATAATTCAGATGCTAGCTGAAGCGATAGAAAGAAAAAAAGCATTATCATATATAAAATGCAGGTTTTTAAGAAGACAGTATCCACTGTATACAGATATGAAATGCAAGGAGAGTAGCAGTGTTTGAAAATGAACAGATAAATAAAAAGCATGTGATTAGTGAAAAGTTTAAATGATATAAATAATTCAAATTTTCTCTTATATAAAAAAAATACAATTTTGTGCAAAACTGATAGGAGAATTTATTAGATATTGTTATCTATTCAAATTTCCTGAGCATTTGCTGCAAGTACAGTATTGGCAACATAGACGATATTGTTCATACACAAAAAAAAAATCATGAAATCAATGATGCGATTTTTAATATTCACAACATCATTATTCTGTCAGTGTGCATGCTCACCCTGTATAGTCCCACCCAATGTATGGTCTCCTACCAGGATATCATGTCTAGTAATCATAAATTTATCTACATCTATCAAATTTGATACAAACGTGTACCCATTCAGAAGTCCTCTGCTGGAAAGGCATGACTTGCCCTTTGCTGCGACCTTGACCTTGAAGGTACTAACTGGGATTAGTATGTGACAAACATTTCAGCAACGATGCATCCATCTTGAATATTCACTGAAAACATGACCAACTATTCAAAATTTATTGCCCGCCAAAAAAGCATTAATATTTGACCTTTGACATATTTTGTGCCTTTGACCTTTATAATACTGGCCTGTCAGTGGTACACGCATACACACACACTGTGGCAAGGTTATACTAAGTATACAAAATTTCATCAAAACATCTGTAGCCAATTTGAAGTTATGGACCAGATAAAAATTTAATTACAAAATACAAACTACCGACATTCCACTTATAATTGAGTCCTTGACCTTTAGTTAAGGGTCATAAGTTGTACGAGACACTGTCTTCTACCAAGACATATGTGTACCAAGTGGGACCATAATAAATATCTGTAGCCAATCAGAAGTTATGGTCCAGACAATACTAGGACGGATAGACAGACAGACAGACCTACATCAAGCAGCCCTCTAGTTTCTCCTATTTCACTGGTAGGGAGCCCCCCAGTTTTACTGGTGGAGGACTAATAAAGACCTACAATAAAAGATACTCAGTTTCATTTTGATAAGGAGTATTGAAACGTACCTATAATTGGTTACACAGGGCAGATCCAGATACAGTATGTTGTGAGGATTTCCAGATACTTCATATTTTCACTTTTTTCTTTACGCAGTTATTCAGAATGCCCTAATCTCAGGTAAATCATCAGCATCACCCAAACTCCTGCTAAATAGTACTCTTAACTTGACGATGTCAATTACATCGTCTCTTATTTCAGGTGTTTTTAACACAGATAACGATAACATGAAGACCACTACGATAGGGTGGTCTCTTAACACAGGTGGTCTCTTGGGCTGGTCTGTCCGATCAATAGGTCTGTCATACGGACCAAGAGACAAAATGTGTAAGTCTATTTTCTGTGACCTTGAGACAGCTGAAGACAGTATATACACTTGTCACCTGTGGCTTTAGACAGTGCATATACCTGTCATCTTTGACCTTGAAACACAGTGTGCATGTACATCATCAGTGACCTTGAAACACAGATCATGACTGTCACTTGTGACCTTGAGACACAGTGTATTTTATAAGCCTACCATCTGTGAAGTTGAGACACTGAGTTTACATGTAGGTCCATCATTTATGACCTTGAAGCATCTTAGACAGCCTGCCATCTGTGACCTTAAGAAGCAATGTATATGTCTTGAGTGAGATGGAGATACATGTATGTATAACTCAGCCATGACTTTTCACTACCTATAATAAACATTCCATAACCTCAACACTGAGTTAATTCTATGATAATAATAATTTCAGGTTCTTATAATTTATACCGCTTTATCACAACCTAGTTCGTAAGGTCGTCTCAAAGCGGATCACAAACTATTATCTGTGGTTATAGGGCCTTACAACCAGTCAGTATCTTTCTCAACTCCCTGGGGAGCATACAGCCGGTACTGCCATTTAGGCGCTCTCAGCTAGCATTCTACAATTCTAGCACTGCCCAACCACATACTCATTTACAGCTGAGTAGACTGGAGCCAGCGGAGCAAAGTATCTTGCTCAAAGATACAACACAGTACTGTGCAGCGACTCAAACCAGCAACCCTTTGGTCACGAGCCCGGCATCCAACCACTAAACCACCGTGCCTCCTGGCAGCTCCTATCACAAATGATACTGAGTGAACACTTTACTAATTGAGACTGGCGAAACATTTTACCACAGTATGAGACGGAACAATACAGTACTGTAGTAATGGAACTAACACCTAGTGCATTCTCAAGCAAGACAATCGGGTATTTTTTATTCAAACAGGCATTTAAATTATAAACACTAATAAATTCCTTTTAAAAAATGCATCCTTTAACAAAAAGTTATCAAAAGATTTATTGCTTTTTGATTTTTTTCTGATAAAAATCTATTATTGATATTTTTTTACTTAAATTTTATGTATATAATATCTAAATATGTATGGATGTAGTTAAGCTGCCAACTAAGTCTGGCAGGGTAAAATGACTTATGAATTAATTATAGATTTCTTATTTGAAATATGGTAAATATTATGATGGGATTCTTCAATTTATAATAAACAGCAGTTAATTTTCAAAACCCAATTTCCTTAAACTGAAGTGTGAACTATACGTATTTAGAAGGTTAAATATGCTATTATGGTCTATATACTTGGACATGGGTGTTTGTATAATATAATTTCTATACCTCTAAAATTTGATTGCAATCTACTAGGTTGAATAATATTAAAACTACAAAGTATCTAATAGATGTATTTGATTTTCTTTCGTTATCTTTCTCAAAACACTACCAGTGACTGAGCTTTAACTAGTTTCATCATTACCATCATCATTATTCCACAACGAAACATCACTGGAGAAATCCTGACAATGGCGTCACGACAATTTCTTTTGTATTGCATCTTTTTCTGCATATTTACTGTAGCCAGTTTTTTTGCTCTTATCCTCTTTACGGGAATCTGTAGGAGGTGATTTGTCACGAGGATCTGGCTTGTAGGCATTGGGAGGTAAGGGATAGAGGCCGTCATCCTTGTCTTTTGGGTCATCGTATAATACAAACTTCTTGAAAGCTGTAAGCAGCGCCCGACATTCCATCTCATCATTATATGGACTTGGGTCATACTTTTCCTTAATTCTCTTCCGCTCCTAAAGAAAATCAGAGCAAAAGAGTACATTTTACTTCTTAACTAAGCTAATTAAAATATCAGGTATTTATTCAGGTAGGTGGAAACAAGGGATTTATATTTGTTAACACTTCTTCTATAAATCAAATAACTTAAGTAGTTGGTAGCACAAAAATTAATATTTATGCAAAGTGAAAAAAAGAGGCCCAACAGGGCCTGTATCGCTCACCTGAATATTTAAGCAGTCATAGCAAAATATTCTCATTAAATATTATATTGCACTAAAAATATTTCCCTCACAAACATAGTTGGATCCATCTGCTGAAACTACCAGCAAAATATTATTATAAGATTCTATGCTTTTTTATTCTTCTTCAGAAGTTGCTTGACATATTTTTCCATGTGACCTTGTAAGTAGGTCAATGTCATTTTCCTTCTCAATTGGTTAGCTCTATTACAAAATGCTACCAGCCAAATCTTATGAATCCATTCCTTTTAGTTCTTGAGAACAAATCCTTTAAAATGTTGTTGACCTCCGTCACCTCTAAAGTAGGTTGAGGTCATTTTCATTCGTAAACATTGGTGAGCTCTATCCCAGGAAGTCACCAGCCAAATATTATAATTTTATGAATTTTAATTCTTCAGAAGAAGTAGTTAGAACTGTTTGACATATTTGAATGCTGTGACCTTGAAAGCAAGTCAAGGTCATTTTCATTCGCAAACTTTGTTTGGCTCTTACCCAGGAAATAACCAGCCAAATATTAAGGTTCTATACCTTCCAGTTCGTCAGAAGAAGTTGTTCTAAGCGTTAGATATATCTGACTCCTGTGACCTTGAAAGTAGGTCAAGGTCATTTTCATTCTAAAACTGTGTTGGGCTCTTTCCCAGAAAGCTACAAGCCAAATATTTAGGTTCTATAACTTTCAGTCCTTCAGAAGAAGTCGTTTTAATGATTAGATATGAATTTGACACATTTGACCCCTGTGACCTTGAAAGAAGATCAAGGTCATTTTTATCCTCAAACTTTGCCGGCTCTATTCCAGAAAGAGCCATCAATCAAATATAAAGATGCTATACCATTTAGTTCTTCAGAAGAAGTCGTTTGAAGCATTTGACATATTTGACCCCTGTGACCTTAAAAGTAGGTCAAACTAATTTTCATTCTCAAACTTTGTTAAGCTCTATCCCAGGAAGCCACCAGCGAAATATAAAGATTCTATACCTTTTAGTTCTTCAGAAGAAGTCGTTTGAAGTGTTTGACACATTTTACCCCTGTGACCTTAAAAGTAGGTCAAGGTCATTTTCGTTCTCAAACATTGTCGGGCTCCTACCAACAAAGCTTTCAATCAAATATCATGACTCTAGGCCTGTTCATTCTTCAGAAGAAGTTAACGGACGATGACGGACGGAGGACGTCGCACCATGACATAAGCTCACTTGCCCTTCGGCTAATGATATGGTAGGAGAAGTAGTGTTTTCACTACTTATAAACTGTCAGGTTGTCTTACCTGATAATCTGTTTCATTGTTAAACTGTCATGTTAACATTGATGACAATGGCTCATCATTTTAAATTAAAAATCTTCAAAATTGAAAACATTGAAAAATCTCTATAGTTATCTAATAATAGAGATTTTGCAATGTTTTCAATTTCAAATACAACCGGTACCATAACATTGATGTCACTAGCCCTTCCTCAAATATACAGTTGAACCTCGTTATCTCGAACCTGTTTAATTCAAAGCCCCCATTTATCTCGAAGTATTTCTTTGGTCCTGGCCAAAGCTCTTCTTTATCTTAGTAAATAAAGCTCTGATAATTCGAACCCTGAAAACTCGAAAAACTTGGATACCTTGAAGTAAGATATTGGTATCAACAGCGTAAATCCAACATCAACACATCGTCTACTTCATGGTATTTGAGTTTCATTTTGTCACTTATTAATTATTTGATACAAATAAAATTCAAAACTACAGCATCTCACCATTCCGTGTTTATGAGCATCTTTCGTGAGTTGACTAGCATGAAATCGGAAAAAAAGTTTTACGATAAAGCTTTAGAGTGTTAAGTGTGCGGACTGTCAAAACCACGATGTTCACAACAAAAAACAAATTTCATCAATCGATGTTGATCAACAGTATTCTGTACTTACTGCAAGTTTAATGATTTGTACACCACAAACAGACCACAGTCAAAACCGGAAAATTGGTCACAACACGCGGTCCACAGTTAAAATTACAACCTAGGACAGCTTCACTTATGGCTTTGAAAGTCGATCAAAAGATTTTAAGAACAATACAATAATTGCTGTTGATTACATCGAGTTGAGGAGGTGTCAGGTGTCACATTTGGTTTTAATGAATCAATGTGTTACATGTACGATAGAATCTGTTCGTGTGTGTTTTTATTTAAAGAATCAACTATGCATAACATTACGCTCTATTACAGTGATTTGAGACTTCATTTTCGCATTGTATAGTACGAAGTCGGAAACAGCGGAATAGTTCTATTTTTAATGTAACACTTCAGAGGTAAAACTTGACGGACCAAATGCAGATCTGGAAAGACTTTTCCAAGACACTTAATCACTAGGCCCGTCCATATTTAATAACAACTCACAATAACCGTTTTGATCGCGTTAAAAGAAAGTACGTTTTACGTCCTAAAAAACTTATACAGGTATTCATTGTAAAATTACAAACCTGTATTTGTTATATTGAATATGTATACCATTCATCGATTGATTACAAGCATTGGCTATCAATAAAATCAATAACTGCTAGTGCTATGTCAAAACAGCAAATTTCATACCAAATATATGAACCTACATAACTTGAATACTCGGATAACTCGAAGTTTTCCCACGACCACGTTGACTTCGAGATAACGAAGTTCGACTGTATTTACAGTTGAAGAAATTTTTGAACTCTCTGGAGATTAACGGTAATAATTTTATCAAAACATTTTGTACTGGTACAGTTTTAAAATATATCGGTACTATATGACAATTTTCTTTGGCTCAAGTAGACTTACCTTTTCCACCAGGTCTGATTCAAATTGTTGTAGCTGTCGCTGGAAACCGAAATTAGGATTGGCACAGCTACGTGCTCCTCGTATGGCATTTACAGCGTCTCTCCAGCCGAGACTAGTGACCGTCATGATGTAGGCAGCTGTGACTGTGACACTTCTGGACACCCCAGCAATACTGACCACAGCAGCACAAGATGTATTTCGTTAAAAATATATAGTACTATAGGTGTAGTACACCATACTTGCCAACATTTTGGAATTTCCATGGGAGAGATTACGCTTGCTCAGAATTAAAAGCATAAATAAAATGTGTGTTTGTTCACCCCAGGTAAAAAATGCCACTTTGTAATGACATCTTTGCAGTTGTTCTTTCAGATGTAATCATCAGAACTTAGAAAATAGGACTACTTCAGCAAATTCACTGGTTAAAAATGCTCAGTTTTAGGGCCCAAAATCGGGAGTCTCCTTCCAAAATAGAGAGAGTTGGCAAGTATGATAACACATATTTAACAAAACAAATACATGGACTAAAATCTACTGTCACCCTTCTGAATAGTATTTCCTGTTTTTCATTGGTCAATCATGTTTTTGTATGCCTGTATGTCCCTGCATGGACAGTAGGTAACTGTTTCATTATCTACTATCATGTGCATGTGGTCAAAGGGAGGTAACTCACTGCTCAGCCTAACCTACAAGATTCATTTCACATACCGGTGGTACCAAATAGAAATCTTACATACACTGTATTATAAATGTTTCAAAGGTATCTACTGAATTCATATCTGTCAAAAAATAAATTTTACAATTTGGCTCAGGTAAAATGAACCTGTATCCCCACGGAACAATGTAGATAACCTATATTATCTACTAGTTTATTATAATGTTATCTATTTTATCTGCCAGTGGATTATGATGTAACCTGTAGTACCAATAAGTGGACCAATATGTAACTTCTATTATCTACCAGTGGATTATTTTGTAACCTAAAGTACCTACCAATGGACTATGACGTTGCCACCTTTGAGCCGTGCCTCGTGGATGAAATCTATACACTGCGGGAAAAACTTGGTGAGGGTCTGTTCGGGAGTGTCACTGGCTACAATACACAGATACTCCTTGTCCTGTGTAACATATCATCAAAACATGATTTGAAAATAAATAAATACAATCCTCATAAATCTGAAGTCACAAGCCATTCATTTCGATGTACTACTACTACTTTCAAGACATTTGTGATGTTTTTCAGAGTTTAGGGAGTTCACAAGTGCCTACACATATCTGTTTACATCAATCAACTTTCACTAATCTACCTCAGATGGAGATATCCCACGTCATACCCCATGTTATCTTGTCCGATCTGTCTTGTACCTTTACGTGACATTTCGCAGAATTTTTACACTGCGATGAATTCATCCCCGCTTTAACGGCTTGAAATTGACAATCTGCATTATAAATATTCTGTTTTGTCGTATTGTTTTGATGTTGTTAGATATCTGATGTTCTAGATAAAATATAATCTACACTGTATTATACATTGTCTTCTATGTAAGGACAGACTACATTTTTACATGGAATCATTCAAATTTAGCTTTAGTAGTGTAGAGGCCATTTGTACTGGAGATACTTGCAGTCTTCAGCAAAGTTGAATAGGGGTTTTTTTTCCGAAAAGGTGTGAGAAACAAAGTGTCGGGCTAAGATTCTGTAACATCCCAATAATGTATCAGAATCTTAGCTGTCGACTGAGATAACCCCATCTTGCTTACTTACAGGGAATATATTTTATCAATCAGTGACCTCCACGCTCCTCTCTGGTTTCAGAGGATGACTCTTATGAATAATGTTTTAGATTCGCCAACTCCCATTCCTGTTTCTATATCTAGACAAAGCATGAACTAAAACAGGAAGTCAAAAAAATTGTTCATAAATAACAAACCTCCAGGATCTTTTTGGCATTATCATGTATAGACAGAATGTGTGTGATTTTGTACTTTTCCAGCTGCTCAGGATCCTTAGAATCCCGGAAGTTTCCGACATAAAGTCCAGGAATTATCTGTAACAGACAGGTAAACAATGACAAAATTTGGATGATAATGTAATAAAGGACTATTATAATATAGTATTACAAAAAATACCTGTACTGTGTATTCCTGTCTTGTAGACTTACACTGAATACTCAATGAACATTTTAAAGCAGAATGTTTGCCTCACCAATACCAAATTCACTAATTTCTTGGATGTTAATTTGTCCTTGTATGTTATTTTTAATGTCATAGTTAACATTTTTACACTTTTATGACAATTATTCTTGTTTTCCTGGAGTGGCTTGGCAAAAGTAACAAAATGGAATAAGACTTGCGAAATTCCATTTAATATTCATTAATCTAATCACCAAAACGATAAGTGATATTTTAAATAGGGGACTACGGAACAGTACCTATCATGAGGCACTGATAGCGAACAAATAAAACAATTATGCCCGACACATTTAAGTTACATTTACTATAGTTTCAATATGACTGACATAGAACATGATCTATGAAACGACAGTTTATAAAAAGCTGATCATTTTGTTTGACGCATTGCGTTTTTAATTTGAACATATGCTTACCTTATTCATTCCATTGCCCATTTTGTTATGACAATGCCGTATCAATCGACTGGAATGTCCTCTTTTACTGTCTGTTAACAAGATATGAGTATCTTAGACCATACCACAATCTACATGACGATGGAAACAGGAATCTTTCTGGAGAATTTGCCGACTGTCAGATACCGGAAGTAATCCAAGAGAAGAATGGGATAGCACTAATGGACGGATATTTTTCTTAAAAATGCTCCAATATCATGAAATTTCATAGAATTTCCGCTGGTTCCTTTTAATCAAGCACACGTTTCAAATACTAATTCTTATGTTAAATTTTCAACAAATTGAAGTTACTTTTCTAGATTATTTAAGTCCATTTACAGAACCAAAATATTTATAACCGGAGTTAGCGTAACTCCTGACGACACCTCAACCCGGATAAACCCCAAACGTTAACTTGGCTTAGGGTACATTCGCGTTACCGGTTGAAACGGTTGAACCGGTTGAACCTGTAAAGAAAACGACAGGTACAGATTTGGACCGAGGCTGACCTCAGGAAAATTTGGCACGTGTAGATTGAGGGGTTCAGACGTACCTGGCCGAAACTAAACTGCTGAATATTGCTAGTTTGCGTTATTTCTTTCTAAAACAATGTCAAGCCACATGTAGTTTTTAAGATACGTTATGTAATTTAGTGGACGCGTGAGAGAAGGGCATAATATTCTTGATACATTGTTTTTTATTCTCCGAAACTGTGGATTTTTAGCTCTGCTTATAGAACGGTCCAAGTGTGTTCGTTTATCGTGGAAAATTTCTGCGCCACACGTACCGTTTCAACCGGTAACGCGAATGTAGCCTAAATACCAACTTTCAAAATTGGACTAGCAGATCATGCAGGGTCTTATTTATCAAATCATTTATGAATAGCTTACTATAATAAACGATTCTACGATATTTTAACATTACACTCATTAAACCGCATGGAAACGCTGTTGACAAACTTACTACTGTAAACGAAAGGCTGTTAACCACTACAGGTGCCGAGTTTTATAATTCAGGGTGCAAAGCACCTCAGTGTGGTTACCACAGGTCAAATGCAAGCCTGAAGAACTCTAATGAAGAAGGTTTTTTTTGGGTTTTTTTTTCACATTTGACCCATGTGATCAAGTAAGACCATCTTATGGTAGTAATAGGTCAAAGTTACTTATTCTTACTTATTCTCAAACATGCAAGCAGCTACCAACAGTAAGGTATTGATTCGACAAGCAGGGCGCAATTAAGGAAATAATAAAGATCCCAAATGTTGTACAGAATGGGTGTAGCATTTTTTTTAACGTTTTATGTCCTCAGGTAAAGGGCACAGAAACAAATCCGAAATTCCCAGATTAGTTGCCTCTTCCAACATGCTGTGGGTAAAAGCAGGTACATGTTTAGGCCTATTCTTTTCTCAGGGCCCAACCTGAAGGGATGATTTGGATGAATGGAGAACGTCAATGGGAAGGGCATTGTTCATAGAGAGTGACTGATGACCATCTGTGGAGGTGTTGTGGTGTTATAGATTATTACGAGAAACAACCGATATTGCGCAGAAAGGAGGGGGAAATGACTGTAACACAGGTATTAGGCCTCGTCTGGCAATACACGGATAAAATGTGACCCAACCATATATTTAAAATAACCTGTTACCTAGAGATCGTCTTAATTAGCATACTCATTCCTATTGTACATTTCATTATTAACTGACCGAGAGTTAATAACACTCACGCACACCAAATTCTGTAAGACTGATAAAAAACAAAACCCACTGTATTCATTAAGTACACAAAACGCATTTAAAACGTTGTGCCATTGGGCCTGTATATAGTCGGTGTAAACTGGAAACTGAGATTGTTTAAATAACCATGTTTAGTAAGATTGCAATGCAACGATATTTTACACTAGTGGCTTTTTTTCTTATGATTTTATAGACTGGTGTGGATTTTCGGTATTGATCGATATACTGTATTTGAAATATACCCTCATGCCAAAATCCACCAACTAACCATACATAAATGTACATAGTAATGATGTAACTAAGTAATAACGCACATCTAAACATAAATAGTGGAACCTTATACCACTGATCGGAGTACCGTACTGAAATAGCATGCCGAAAGCACCAAGCAAAATAGTCCAACAGTCACATTACACTGACTGTAGCCATGATCCTAAACACTAAACGGAACACTAGTTCAGTGCTTTGATATATCCAAGCCTTGGGACCGAAACCCATTGCTTTACTTACAGAAGCGAACGTTCATTATCAAGGCCAGATGTGAGGTATTGCCAAGCAGGACGCACGGTTTTAGGATGTTAAGAGAAAATATAGAGATTCCAAATGTTGCAATAGACGCAGCAGATTATGGCCGCGTTTCTGTCATAGTTACAACATGCAGCTGTCTCTTACAACGTACAGTGTGTAAAACATGTATACAGGCCTTTATTCTTACCTCAATGTCGGACCTACAGTGGGTAAAAAATGTATACAGGCCTTTGTTCTTACCTCAATGTACGACCTACAGTGGGTAAAAAATGTATACAGGCCTTTATTCTTACCTCAATGTCCGACCTACAGTGAGTAATCATGTATACAGGACTTTATTCTTACCTCAATGTCCGACCTACAGTGTGTAAAACATGTATACAGGCCTTTATTCTTACCTCAATGTCCGACCTACAGTGGGTAAAACATGTATACAGGACTTTATTCTTTTATTAATGCCTGACCTACAGGGATGATCTGGAGGGGGAGAACGTCATTGGGAAGGACAGCGTTCATAGAGAGTGACTGACATCTGTCTGTGGAGATGTGGGGTGTTATTAATTATTACGAGAAACAAACTATTCATTGCATAGACAGACATAGATAGGTATCTACCTGGATTCGGTCTGTGTTAGACGGCCCGGTGGTCCATGATTTGTTTAGATTGCACCTTCTCCTCAAAGTTTTATCTAAATATTGTTATAGTTGGTAGTTTATAACACTTACATCGTTCATTTTACATGTTATACATGTTCCTTACTTTATTATTTACAGTTTAGGGAGGGTTCCTCATTCATTTTCCCCCTCACTTCACTTTTCTTGTAAGTTTGCCCACACGCAGGTTTGTAGTAAGCTTCATTGTAAGTCTCTCTAATGCCTAGTCAACCTGCTTTTGGATTGGTTAATTGTGTCACTGTTAATAAATTCCTCTGGTAAGATGTTTTAGTCGTTAATTTCTCTCACGTTGGAAAAAAATGGTTCTAATGTAGTCTACACGTAATTGCATATGATTAATCTCGGTCATTTCAGTTCCATATATTGATAATTAATATATACGACCGTACTGGCATGACACGGTGGGACACTGGACTTTTATTACACGAAGAGATATATATTTGCTGAAACTCACAATTCACCCCTAGTTGGATAAACACAGACCCAACCACACATATCTAAAATAACCTGTTACCGAGAGATCGCCTTTAAGCGAGCCGCTTTTTTCATTTTGCATCGAATTTTCACCTGATCCAAAGTATAAAACACTCATGTACACCGAAATACTGAAAGTTCGGTGAAAGGGCACTATCTCTTACGTACACGACGCGTTATTTAATCGCCTCTAATTGACTCATTCATATTCGGTGTAAAATGTAATCAAATCCTGCTGAAATAACAGTGTATTAGTAAAACTTTGACTAACAGACCTACACCCGTACACACAATACATTATATATAGTAACCTATGTCAATACTCATTTATATATTACGCATATCAAAACAACGGGATTATTAATTGTAACTTATACCGATCGGATCATACCGACACACATAATTTCACATTGAAGAATGACTTCTGATTGCTTTATGGACTTAAACTCGTTTATGAGTATAATAAAATTATCGGCATCAGTTTTTAAAGGAGTATTCACGGAAAAGTGATTGTTTAAATACAATATTTAGTGATCTATTAAAGGTAAGTTATAGTTCAACAGTTATGATCATTTCCCAAGATCGACAAGTTAAAAGCCAAGACCGGCCCTGTCAAATGCATTTAAAGTATAATTGATTTAAAACATAATGGAATACATTTAATTTGTATCAGTTCAGATAATATATATAGAACATTAATACTTTAGTCTGTCTATATGTTTTGTAGTACAAGTTACAACAATAAACAATGACGAACCATACCTTTTGTAGACGACAGTGTCTAAATCTTGATTAAACGCTATTGCGGAAGTTAAAGCAAAACTTGAACAAGGAAACCTACACACCAACCTTTCCCTTGGTAAATAATCGTTTGAATTAAGGAATATATCGCCGTTGATTGATTGATTGATTGGTTTTACGTCCGCTTCACTACCGAGTAGTTCGGTTATCTTGCAGACTAACATATATCGCCGTGTACAATCTTAAATCTTAAGTATGGCACATACCTGTAGCAGTGTTATTATTAATTTTTTAGTAATGATATCATTTATTTCCGTAACCCGAGTGTCGAAGAAGATCCCTTCCGATCAGACAAATATCTATGACGGTGTGATATTAAGTCGAGTTTTGACGAAAACAGCGAGATGACATACGAGTTTGATATTACAAAGATTAATACAAACGGCGGAAAGCACAATTTTTGGAGAATGTTTGCAACGCAATACAGAAATGATCTATATATAACGGGCAGTCTCTTGCATAGGTATTTATTTTAAACTTTATATGTCATTGATTACACATGTGACATATACGTGGACCTAAAATTATACCTGTAGTACTATCTGTAGTTAAATCGAAACTACTGCAATGTAACGATGTCCAGTTCATGGGTTTCCCATATACGTACACTTTGATATGTATTTCATTTTGTCACAAGTATTATTTACTTCTGTCACAAAGCGATCAATCAATTTTTAACATTTTTAAGAAAGGCGTTCCTTTTTAAGTTTCTCCCAAATTATTTTTTCATTTCATTGACAAGATGTGAATTTCTATTTATTTATCACAGCAACAAGAAGTTGTGCTTGTGCAGATAATCTGTATTTCAGGTGATTTCAGTGATTCTTGGCCGAGACTAAATGGCTGACTATCGCTGGCTAACGACATTTCTACATAATATAAACGTAGATTCATTTATAATGTTTGGGTTATGATATAAAATTAAGATTACGGGAGCGATATTTATTTTGGTTTATTTCTATTTATTTGACAGAAATCACTGAAAAGGAACATATAGAGCTGTACCTAATAGGCCAGTCCACTTCCAGTCCAAGTGTTTGAGTCTACTTTGCCGAACAGACCGAAAATATAGTATGTAACTTGGAAAAATATAGAACCAGTTACCAATGATTTGCAGAATGATTTTTTTTCCGCTATAAATTATTTCCATTGGTCCTTGTTATTCTCTTTAGTCGTTATTAAAAACGAGCGCTGGATTAATGTATACTCCGTCTAAAAGGAAACTAGTGAGGTATATGTGCCTTTATGTTTAATGTCGTTATGTTTTAAGTGATACTGTTGTCTTTCATATCGTCTTTGGCTTCCATATTTTACGCTATGGTATGTAATCTGGTATTTTTGTGGTCTACGGAGAAAGACAAAGATGTTATGATATTTGTTTTAAAATAAATAAGACTATCAAATACTAAAATGTAGTTATGTTAGTATACTTTTATACCATTTTGTTTGACATTGTCTAAAAGGGTAAAGACATTATTACTATTTACATTTCTTTATAAAAGAAAATGTTACACTTTTAAAGTTTATTTGTGGTGTCCTCCACCTTTTAATTCACTAACGATAGAGAAGTATTTGAATGGCCAAGTTTAAGATGTGCACATAGGCCATAACTCGGTGTAAAACAAAAGGAAAGAGGAAACTTTTCGTTTGATAATTACCTTAAACAACCCCCTGACTTAATACTCCGTTTTATATAAACAATCTTTTTATATATGCCTGTTTAATTCACACATGTTTTCATAAACAGAAATGGTATTATTTTGGTGGGAATATCTGTGCTAAGGTAATAACTCTCACAATCAATTATGTGTTATGATTGTTGAAGCAATGTTCACCATTTGTAGGTACCCACTTGTTATTTGTTTGTTTTTGGTGGTGTTTTTTTTAAAATTTAAATTGATGTTGTTAAATGTGTACAGTCTGTACACGGACAATGATATTCATTACGTTATGCGTTGGAGCCATATATAAACAACACGAACACTGGCAATGATATCATTACGTTATGCGTTGGAGTCATATATAAACAACACGAACACTGACAATGATATCATTAAGTTATGCGTTGGAGTCATATAAACAACACGAACACGGACAATGATATCATTAAATTATGCGTCGGAGTCATATAAACAACACGAACACTGACAATGATATCATTACGTTATGCGTTGAGTCATATAAACAACACGAACACTGACAATAATATCATTACGTTATGCGTTGGAGCCATATATACACAACACGAACACTGACAATGATATCATTATGTTATGCGTTGGAGTCATATAAACAACGCGAACACTGACAATGACATCATTAAGTTATGCGTTGGAGCCATATATAAACAACACGAACACGGACAATGTTATCACTAAGTTATGCGTTGGAGCCATATATCAACAACACGAACACTGACAATGATATCATTACGTTATGCGTTGGAGCCATATATAAACAACACGAACACGGACAATGATATCATTACGTTATGCGTTGGAGCCATATAAACAACACGAACACTGACAATGATATCATTAAGTTATGCTTTGGAGTCATATAAACAACACGAACACTGAGAATGATATCATTAAGTTATGCGTTGGAGCCATATAAACAACACGAACACTGACAATGATATCATTAAGTTATGCGTTGGAGCCATATAAACAACACGAACACGGACAATGATATCATTACGTTATGCGTTGGAGTCATATAAACAACACGAACACTGACAATGATATCATTAAGTTATGCGTTGGAGTCATATAAACAACACGAACACTGAGAATGATATCATTAAGTTATGCGTTGGAGCCATATAAACAACAAGAAAACTAAGTTTTTGCATGCATATTCACACATTTAAGATTGTAATTCCATTGCATACATGTTTTACTCAAGACGATCCCGTTTTATTTACCTAATACGGTGAATACTATCAACGAGCAGCTAGACTGACAACAGACACTTTTACTTTTGTCTTAAGTTTTACACTTTAAAACATGAAATTTTATAATCAGTTTATAGAATGATCTCGTTCTATATTAAGACATCGATACTTCCTGTTTCGATTGGCCTTTTATTCCAATGCCATCATATAAGTATTCAAATATAACATTTGGACATCCGTTATATGTTTCAATTTTCTATGCGCAGATTTCGTTTCTCCTGTTGGGTAGGTAAGTGCACGACGAACACAGTAGGAATTTCATTAGCGCATTTTACGAAACAGCATAACAATTATGTCCATCCCTTGCATTATCCTTATTATATGTTTGTTTTATGTTTTTTTTTTAATGTTGTTTGTTTTTTAGGTTGTTACATTATGTTTTTCATTGTGATTGTTAGGATATGCTGCTTTCCTTTTGTATATTTAGTGTTTCATTTATTTTAAAAACATTAAATACGACCGTTCGTAGTGTTAGTACGGAAATATTGTTCGTATGAGTTTGGTTTGTTATTGTTGAACTATCAATCCGGTGGTTGGGTGGGGCAGTGGTAAGCGCACTTGTCTTTCTATCAAGTCGATTTCCCGATCGGACATGAAAAGGAATTAGATCAATTGATTAAATCCTTTTGTAAACAAATGGTTAAGTTTGAACTGTTAATCTTATCAAGAAAGGTATCAGGTTAAAAAAATAATATTTTTTTACAATAAACGTCACTGATGATTGACATGACTTGGGATTTGCTGATAAGATTAGCTGATATCATAGGTATACGCTGTTGAGCCTTTGACTACCAATTATATAAAATTACATTTCCGGAGTCAGATTTCAGAGATCAAATTCATTCTGAAATATTTTACAAGATGGATAAATATTACTCGAATTCACGATCGTCATTTCTATCCGCACCATTTGTTCAAGGTAAGTTGTCGAAGTCCAAAGACCTAAAGTGAAAGTGATAGTCATCGTGTAGTTTTATATACTTTTTGTAACACTTATATGTCACTTAAATTATTTGTATCAATGGCCATGTATACTATTTTATATTAAAGATATATTATTTAGTGAGACCTGTTTCTGGTATTAACTTGTCTACCACTCATGATAAAGTATTAACCTGTTCACGCTTTGTCCCCAGGTATTTACCACTCATGTTAAAGTATTAACCTGTCTACTCATTGTCCCCAGGTATTATCTGACCTGCATTTAGAATATGGGTTACATTATCTCTAGTGTTTGGTTTAACCTATGTGCAAGTTATATTTGGTTCATATCTTAATAGTGGAACGCATCAAAACTTCCTGGTTATACCACATACATATTCTTTGCAGATAAACTAGATAAAATGAAGGGCAATGCTCTTAACTTCTATGTTCTTATTCTAAGGTCACTTGGCGTAAAATAATTCATAATAAATAGGTGAGAAAAAGAAACATTTTTATTAGGGAGAAAATATCAATACTACGAACGCAATAGGTCCCATTCCTGTCATTGAAATGTTTACCGGATCATTCACAGCTTTGACAGAGGAGAGCCAAATAAGAATGTTGTGATTTCGTTGGCTTCGAAAACTCTTATTTCTTATCGGCATTGGCATCGATTTTTCACTACCACTGTCAGGTTTCAGGTTGTTAGACCAAGGTGTTTGTGTTCCGGCATTTTGAAAAGTGCGACTTCAGTCACTCTATCTTCAGCAAGTAAGTGATACTTATGTTTTGAACAAGTGAACATATGAACACATACTGATGAAATTTGTAGTGCCGAACAACTCCTTAAACATCTGAGTACAAGAAAGGTAAGCCGTTCCTTTACCAAATGTCGAACCGTTGTGTGACCTCTAATAACAGTTAACCGGACACCAACCATCAGACAGTACAAGTTTATTGTTTATGGGTACGTCACCACAAGTGGGTTAATATAATCTCTCCCTAACTTAAGTCTTGGTTCCATCCTTATGGCGGGGGTGATTATTTTTTTCTCACTTTGTGTTATTTTAGTCACAACCCAACCGACAGTAGTCTGGCATGTTTGTAACGATAACGCATGCGGTGTACGACTATCGCTTTATGACGTCACAATCGTCACTCACTTTTATTGTATCATAATTTAGGGGTGACAATCTGTTTTTTCCTGACTACAACATGAGACAAATACCCGTGAAGGGTAGGGTAAAAGTACGTCCGCAAATATACACAGAAGCATTTTTATTCATTAGGTAAAAAGAAATTCTGCTAAAATGTTTCGGTTGAAATATGCTAAATGTAATACTCATCAGTGGTACTACTTGTCGAGAGAATAAAACTACTTCCATATTTAAAGTGTACTGACACATATGTAGAAATACGGGGTAAAGGAAGAGATGCGTTTAAATCCCTACTGTTTTTACTACAGAGGTTATTCCTTGCTGCTTAATATTATGAAAATGTTGTTGACCAAAACAACGATCGTGATGACGATATTACCTCTATGAAAGGTGGCTCTCATTTTTTGTTATTTACGCCTTTTCTCAAAGATGATGAGTCTTATCAGGTTGAATAATAAGAGACAGAGCAGCAGTCGAAATACTAGGGCGGCTCGACATGACAGAACTACAGCATCAAACTTTTATTTACAAACTTTTATTGATTTATTTACTTATTTATTTGTTGATTTTTTATCGTACTTTGTTTTACTTGAGACCAGACATCAAACCGGATGTTTCAGTTTACGACTCTGTGAGTCACAATGTGTTCCCCAGTTTATCTATACCTGTGTCACCGAACATGAACTGATAAACATACAAACGGTCGTCTCGGTATACCCAGCCTCAAAAGAAATTAAATCACTTTGTGAAAGGAAACTGGCCCCGGTTGCTCAAAAGTTGGTTAAAGCTGACCAGTGGTTGGGGAATAATCAAAATACGAATAAAAAGTTAAAAAAACAGCTTATATCATTTCACTGTTATGTATTTTGGTTGAGACAGATAAGGTTGATGTGATTTGATGATTTGTTTAGTTTTGAAAGCCCTTGCTTCATATTTTTATTAATTTGAAAATTTCACTAGCTACTCGACTATTTAACCAACCTTTGAAGGACCGGAGCCTGAAGTATTAAATTCATGTTAACTGTGGAGAAAACATTGCATCGTAACAACTTCACAAAGATTTCAGAGACAAGTAAGTTAAAATAATATCCCAAAAAATCTAACTGGTGTGATTTTATCATTGTGGGGAAATTTAGGTGGCATGAATCCGCCATCATATAGTGAGATAAACAAATCATTCATTAATTAAATTTCAAAAAGTAAGTTGCTATATCGACTTATTTACCTTGCTTTGGCGATAGACTGACCTCACTATCTGATGGAATATCTATACCATGATACGGTTGATGTTTTGAATGGAACATTTAATTTCATGCATCTGAAATTTTCCAACAGAGGTTTTCTATTTGGGATAACATGTAAACTTATTTATCAGGTTGTTGTTGTTTTAAAGAAATCCGTTCTAGGAACAGATTTTGTACTTTACTATAAGTTTATTATAAGCTTATTATAAGTTTATTATACGCTAAAAACGTTAAATAGAATTGAATGTAGAAGTGAATAGAATGTAGATAAAATCGAAATACATTAAGTATAATATAAAGTTATCGTTTGACCATTAATGTTTACTTGAGACCAGACATCAAACCGGATGTTTCTTTTTCCGACTCTGTGAGTCACAATGCGGATTATGGTCCCCAGTTTATCACTGTTAAAGAAATAAATGTAAAAATAATATTTATGATGTGCGGTTCAGTACCCAGTCATACAGCAAGCTTTTATTAAAAGTTCAATAGTCAAATAAAAACCAGTAATACCACAGCATGAATTGAAATAGGCCGTTTATTATAAAAACGACGTAAAATAAAATCATGTATACAAAACATGTCACGTCGTTTCTTCCAAAAACAACGTAAAATAAAAACATGTATACACAACATGTAAAACATGCCACATCATACTGATCTGAATACATATAGGCATTATGCCTAATGAAAACNCCACAAAATATACCTCCATACAAAAATTGGCTGAGTTAGGGGATGGTGGTGGGAACAAAAGCTGAAATGTGCATCCTACCTTTGGCCTCGAGAAAAATTTGCTGAAGTGACGCTATTGTTGGTCACGTGATGTGTATCCCTACATCGGCAACGGTAAACCGGTCAGATTATGCGTCGCAAAAGGAAACTTGAGGCCAAGCTAAGAAGTACATCCGCATATAAAAATAGTTCTAAATAAAATCTGAACCCACATCATAAATGTAATTAAATTAACTTTGTATTTAATTGTTGTTTTATGATGTGCGGTTCAGTACCCAGTCATACAGCAAGCTTTTATTAAAAGTTCAATAGTCAAATAAAAACCAGTAATACCACAGCATGAATTGAAATAGGCCGTTTATTATAAAAACGACGTAAAATAAAATCATGTATACAAAACATGTCACGTCGTTTCTTCCAAAAACAACGTAAAATAAAAACATGTATACACAACATGTAAAACATGCCACATCATACTGATCTGAATACATATAGGCATTATGCCTAATGAAAACAATTATGTGACTATTAAAGGAGGGGGGCAAAACCGCCNCACATAGTATGTTTTAGGTGGTCTCCTCTGACACCGTATACAATGTCTCTAGTGAATAACGTGGCAATATTCGTCATAACAACTGAACACACAAATTGTCCTATTTGTGACAGCTGCTGACTATCCGAAAGGAATCCAATGAGCACTAGCGCCTGAGGCACATGACTGCCTCCTGTTGTGGTTATTGTCAGCTTGCATGTCCGAATATAAAGAAATAATAATACAGATACAGGTACACCAGCTCGTTAATTACATGCACATTAATTAATCTTCCTGTCATGCAGGGATGCCATGCATCCAATGCAATTAGGAGATATATATAGAACATTGAATATACAGACCATGCATGATAATATCACCTTCCTATAAAGCAGGGATGCCATGCATCCAAAGCAATTAGGAAATATATAGAACATTGGATATACCGACCAATGCGTGATAACCTTCGTTTGAAGCAGGGATGCCATGCATCCAATGCAACGAGGAATACAATGTAACTCAACAAAAATGTATCAGTTTAATTACAAAATCTTTACAATGTTTCTTTTTACGACTCTGTGAGTCACAATGCGGATTATGGTCCCCAGTTTATCACTGTTAAAGAAATAAATGTAAAAATAATATTTAACTGTTTAGATAATTTTCGTTTCAGGAATGGATATCGAAGACACAATACCTAGAAAAAAACGAAAGATGTCTAAAGAATGCTGTGGGGAGAGTAATCATGAACTCACGAGGGTCACACAAACTGAAGAAAAATCCAGAAAACGTCGCTCAAACAGGATATCACAAGGCTGTGAATCTTGTGAATCTAAGAGTATGAATTTTCGATTTGTTTTTTCAATTTCTTACTGCATCTTGATAAAAGTGTATAGTAAAGTAAAATGCTAATTACGGTAAATAATCTTCCTATTTATGTCCTCTAAACCACATTGTTTTTTATGCATTTCTTCTGATTACGTATCCCAAATGCAGTGTTATTTACCTCCGTCAGGTTTTCTATTGGGTGATACTTATGAAACTTATGAAACTTCGCATGGGTATTGGTAGCCTTATTTAGATGTGTGTTACGGTCATCAAAGTTGGCCGCTATGGCTTCTGATTGATTGACACATGTATGGGCGAACGCCAATGTGATGGCAACGCTCTTTCTCTATGTCTGATTTTGCTCGAACTCATTATGTAAATTTTGTATTACATCATTGTACATTCTTTCCAATGCATCATTTGCGACTACATGGGCACTGTGGGGGAATTGGAAATCTGCTTCCAACTGCGATGTGTGTTCTCTATGCACTATTCAAATACCCCTTGATGTTTATGATGAAACATAAAATTATATAGGCACCTAAATAGGGGTATCGTCTATAGTGCTACTGCTCTGGATTTTTAATTTACCATCACGAACCAAACTATGTCAAATAAAAATGTATTCTTCATTATATGGTTTAATGGATTAATCATAACACGATATGTCTAGTAAACTGAACATATATTCGGTTTTTTTTCTTCCACAGCCGAAAAGCCACTGGTGTTGACCAAAAAGGAAGTGTGCTCACCATCAGATGTATGTACATTTCTGTCTGTATAAATTATCGCATTATACAATCAATTGATGTCAGTATTGTGAAGAAGCACTAATAGATAGCTGTGCTCAGAATGGTTTACTATACCCTACGTGTATTGGATTACACACACTTTATCAGAGAAATGTTTGAATCTTTATCATTAAAACATGCATTTCGAAACATGATGTCCATTGAAGGTGAGTTCTGTATTTTTAATGTACAAAAAGGCAAAACAACTATTCTGCATCATTCGTACTTTTGAAACAAGTGACAGTGAAGAGCCATGTCTTTAATTCCTATTACAAATAGGAGTAATTATGACGTTACGAGTTTCATATTCTCAGCAGTGACATAGCAAACTCTACTGCAGCTGGCGTTTTAAGCCCTAAGTGATAAGTGTAGGAAATCATCGCCCATGTTACCTGTATTTTAAATCACTGGAGGCCGACATTCAGGTTTTGACGGGAGACAACATGACGGGTGCTACATTGTAGTGTAGGAAATCATCGCTCATGTTACCTGTATTTTAAATCACTGGAGACCGACATTCAGGTTTTGACGGGAGACAACATGACGGGTGCTACATTGTAGTGTAGGAAATCATCGCCCATGTTACATGTATTTTAAATCACTGGAGACCGACATTCAGGTTTTGACGGGAGACAACATGCCGGGTGCTACATTGTAGTGTAGGAAATCATCGCTCATGTTACCTGTATTTTAAATCACTGGAGACCGACATTCAGGTTTTGGCGGGAGACAACATGACGGGTGCTACATTGTAGTGTAGGAAATCATCGCCCATGTTACCTGTATTTTAAATCACTGGAGACCGACATTCAGGTTTTGACGGGAGACAGCATGACGGGTGCTACATTGTAGTGTAGGAAATCATCGCATTTGTTTCACTCACTACTTGTGACTCCATCGTGATGTTTCCCGTCAAACCAAAGCTACCAAGTAGGTCAATTTAAACCTGACATTGCAGGTTATTGGTTAAATGTTCATTGGATATTGAAAAAAAGGGTTATTTTTCAGTTTTGTCTGATAGACACTGATGGTAATTTTGTCATAATGGCAATCATGAAAAAAAATCAAAGTCTACGAATTCCCATTTATAATTACCTGTAGAGCATAAGGATATTTAAAATAAACGAGTCTTTAATAATCAAAACTGAGTATAAACGAACTTGTAAGCCACTCTTTTCCAAGCTTTCGGGCTTAGCCCTTCGTCAGGGATCAAATGTCACTGGACCTCTATGTCACATCCATCTTGACAAACATGTTGAATAACTATGATACATGTTGAATAACTATGATAGTTATTCAACATGTTTGTCAAGATGGATGTGACATAGAGGTCCAGTGACATTTGATCCCTGACGAAGGGCTAAGCCCGAAAGCTTGGAAAAGAGTGGCTTATAAGTTCATTAATATTATTGCGTTCCCTAAAGGAACATAGGTTTATAGACAATTAGTTAAAACTGAGTAGTTTTCTTTTTTTCTTTTAAAGGCGGACAAAGATTGCAATGATCAAGAAATTCAAAGTAAGTCTAAGTTATACTGAAATTGAAAACGTGGCAAACTATTCCATTGCTTCCTTTTATGACGGAAATGTTTTGTGTACGGATAGGTTTATAATTCAGTGGCGTCTTCAGGAGTTAGAAATTAGAAATCATTATCAGATGCGAAGTAATAATATATGTTTTTCAAACTAAAACGATTGTGAAGATGAGTCTGTAAATGTTTTTATACATGTATACTAAGAATATATGAAGAATCCCTCTCCAAATTTTTAAAGAAACCATAAGAGGGATGCCTTGAAAAAATTAGTTGTTTTTTTTGCTCGTATTTCTTTAGGAACAACAGAGGATATAGCTGTAAGTAATGACAGTCTAGGGAAACTACGAAGAGGTCCGTTGATACGATATGATCAAGAACAATAGTTGAAGACTGCTAGATGAACAGGATACTGTCATTCCAGATATTTTCATATTACAGTTTTTCAGCAAGGTCAAAACTTATGGCTGATGGTTAATTTAATGTGCGCGACTTTTTAGCTCACCGTTCGTCAACTTTTTGTTTAAACAACTTCTTGTGAAGATCCGAAAGTCCTTCAGTCATGGTATTTGGCAAATCACAATCTAGGATGGAGCCCGACAAAGTTTGCGCACACCCACCCACATGTTTCTCTGTCTGAAGCCATCGGATGTTATCCACTGATTAAATCGACGAATTAAAAGAAAACGTTTTTCGAATGTGTGTTTATCTAAAATTAAGAGTTAAACCCCGTTCATTGCTGGGGCGTGCACATCCACTCGTGTCCGCACAACAAGCTTGTGCTGCTACACCAAGTACAAACGTTCGGTATTACTAATGTATTATAACACAGTTTGTAAGTAATATATTATAGACCGTTTATACCTAGATTATCTATTTGTCAGTTATCTTAAATACTGTAACACCTCTGAGCTAATGCTATTACATCACTCTTACGATTATCCGATATGGGATAACTTTTTTTTTCTTCCAACAGAAACATACATATACATTTTACATAGTAATATCAATATACGCACACATACACATGCATACATACATACATACATACATACATACATACATACATACATACATACATACATACATACATACATACATACATACATAATATATATATATATAATACATACATAGCATATATACATACATATGTACACACACACACACACACACTAGGGGTGTCACAATACGCCAAGAGTGTATCACGATATACGTGTATCGCAATACCGAATGAATATATTGCGATACGTATCGCGATATATTGTCATAGGAAAGATGTGCTCGATTTTATGATAAGTTGTTGTCAGACTTCTTCTGAAGATCTGAAAAGGCTGAAGCCATGACATTTGTTCAGTAGCATCATACGATGGAGTCCAACAAAGTTTGTGAATGAAAATGACCTTGACCTACCTTTAAGGTCACAGGGAAAAGACAGAAGCCATGACATTTGGTCAGTAGCATCATACGATGGAATCCAACAAAGTTTGTGAATGAAAATGACCTTGACCTACTTTCAAGGTCACAGGGATAAAATGCCGGTAGGTCTAAACCTTCAAATGACTTCTACTGAAGATCCGAAAGGCATAGAGTCATGATATTTAGCCAATAGCATCGTATGATGGAGTCCTACAAAGTTAGCGAATAAAATTGATACTTTCAAAGTCATATGTCCGTCATGCGTCCATAAACAATTCATATTTTTGACTTAGTGACTTATTCACCAAAACTGCTGCACCTATTTCAATCAACTAGTTCTCTTGGATGGAAATGTACATGTTCAAAGATATAAGACGTTGGCTATGATGATGTTGATGAGGAAGATGCAACCAGGAAGGTGAGGTTGATGATGATTTTGATGAAAATTAATATATATTGATGATGCTGCTGCGGCTGCGGCTGCTGCTGCTGCTGCTGCTGATGATGATGATGAATGTGATGCATGTTCTTGGACACCAACCTTATATAACGATAAACAAATAACAACAAACAAAACCCTACAACACACTTCTGAATATCCTTAACGTGTCAAGTCATGCTCTTATTCCCCCACCAGCATCCTCTGTTTTAGTTCAACAACATTTGCACATGAATATGCCCTTGCCTTACGTATACTTTCAAGGTGACAGGGGTCAAATAATTGTTAACCTTCAACCGCTTCTGAAGATCCAATCCACCTAACTTCACAATATTTTGCTAACAACTCAATTTAACAAAACAAACAGGTGAGCGATACAGGCCCTTCTGGGTCTCTTGTTTTATCACATAACCAACAACTCGTTTGCTTTACAATGGTGTGTGGCAATATAAATATTCTGTTTTTGTTATATGTATTGTTTTATGTTTTTTAGATATCTGATAAAATATAATCTACACTGTGAAAACATTGTCGTCTTCGTAATGACTAACTAGTTTTACGCGGAAGCTTTCAAATATAGATTTAGTAGTGTAGATGCCATATTTATTTGAGGCCCTAGATGGAATATTTGTAGTCTTACGAAAAAATAACTTAACCCAGGGACGTATAGTGAAGTAAATACTGTCCCTGCTTAACCCAATCTAGCTCAGTTACAGGTTTTATTGAGATAGTTCAGTGGATTTTATCACGCATTATTGTGACTTTGATGCTGAAACATATATGTCAGTTGTCCTTATTTTGATATTTTGTGTTTAATTCCTATTATAGTCTTTTCCGTTTTGTCCATGAGCTTTGATCTACTTGTTTAATGTATTACATGTTTTTATTTTGCTTCATCGCCTCATCGCTTTTAAAACCAGCGCATTTTTATATAATTAAATGTATAATGACTAGTCATTTGTCATGAATAATGGGTCACAGTCTAGTTCTTTTGTTTATGAGTTAGCGTTGCTATGTTTTGATTATTTTTGCATTACTTCGGCAATTGATGTATTTTGCTTACATAAGCTTGCCTATGAAACGATGTTCAAACAGTTTCACCATGATCCGATAAACTTGAAATGATTTTGAATGTCCTTTAGTTATGAATCTTTACCTATGCAAAATACTGGTAACATACTATATCACAAATTCAGCAGACAAACGCCATGTTGGCCTTTCAGCTTGAATTCCTGGACCTGTACCTTCATCTTGTTAATGTAATGTTAATTCCTTACTGTAAAACATTGGTATATTAACATGCAAAAATACAAGCAGTTCCATTCACCCTACGTTGTGATTTGCTGTCAGTTATTGATGAAAATAATAATTATATTAATGAAAAGAAAAATGGAAAAACACAAGATATATAAAATAATAAAAAGTTTCAAATTCGTAATGTATATCAACATTCGTTATATTTTCAATTCTTTCGATGGATGAAACAAATTTGAATGAAATGAAGATTTCTTAATCTAAGGATTTTTGGAACTTGTTTAACTATAATCAATAAACAGAACAAAAAAACGAAATGCCAATAGAAACTTTTAAAAACTTTTTTTACATAAAAGAGGGTAACAACGAAGATGAATTTGTTGTTATGAAGGACATTGTTAAATAGAATAATTAATGGTGAATTAACAAATGGGGACGTTTAAAGAGCTATAAAGCTTTGGGAAACAAAGTTAGTGCTGATTAACATAATAATAGACAGGCATCGTATTCTATTTTATTTAAGTAAACCTTTCGAAAGTAAATACAAACAAATGTTAACTAGATTTAGGATATCGTCTCACAAATTAAATATAGAAACTGGAAGACATATCATAACGTCATACGCAGAAACAGGATTTGTACCAAATGTAATTTGAGATATATAGAATCGATCCATTTTATTTTGATTTGTCCATTTCATAGCGATTTGAAGCACGATTATTCAAACAATATTATTACAGAAAACTCTCCATCTATAAATTAATACAACTACTTAGTATGAATAATGATAGAGAGCTATCTAATTGAAATATTTATATTTAGCATTTAAAGGCGTTCAGTATAATTATGTTTGTGTATTGTGGTGTTCCCTAACTGTAATTGTTAATTAAGTATTGTTATATACACATTATTGTCACTCTCCTGTCTATTCTAATTATGTTTAGAGAATGTTATATGTATATATGTATGTACCTATAAACCTAGGGGGTTTTGGCTAATAAAGAATGAGAATATTACGAAGTAGTACAGCAAATGTCGATATTTGTAAATGATTGATTTGTGAGTAAATCTTTTTGATGTTATATTCTGAGGTGATCATCGACCTGTACAGTGGTTAAAGATCAATTATTAATATTTACTATTTAAATGAAAAGTTGCCTAATTAATTATAAACCAATGGAAAGCTTTGCTTTTACTGAAGTCTTAAATGTAAGACTTTAAAAATTATGATGCTAAAATTTTTATGTTATTTGTCAAATTAAATCTGGTTTCGGTAAGACTATCATAGACCACATATTTCTCTGTAAAACATTTCATTGATTTTGAAAAAATGATGTATATGCTTAAGTGGAAAGTTATATTTTTTTCAACACCAAACGATATGGAAGATTTTATGCCTTAATATAATGTTTATGGTGTTAATGACTGAGTAACTATTTAGAACAAGACTTCAGTGCATACAAAAAGCTCTATACTATTTTATATACAGATAAAACACAATCATCTTGATTTTTCAGATGATTTTCATTTGCAACTTTATTTATTTAATGAACATTGTAAACATTTGCGATATAACGGCCACAATTTATAAAAAGTTTTACTTTTCTTGTATCTGTATTCTTTACCAAAAGCTCCTTCAGTGAGGCTAAAAATCATGTTTAAAACAGTATGTTTTGAAGAAAGTTTGAACTTATATATGAAATATTTCAAAACATTGAAAAGGTAAGTTAGCTCTATCAAACGAGAACACATGAAAATTTGTAAAACGCTTTTGTAAGATTGAAAAAAAAATACCATTGGTAGTTTTCAGTAAAAACTAGACTAAATATCATATTGGTCATATACACTATACAGAAAGTATGTACAACTGATCTTTATACAATTTATTAATGCATTGTGTGATGAATTACATGATTATTGTAAAGAACATTTTACGAGGATTTAGCTCCCTAGAATTAATGCTCTCTGTGAAACATATTCCCCGAGGTCAATTTCTACAGATCAGGGGGAGAGATGTATGCAATTTTCTCAAAATCAGCCCGTCACAGAATCTATGAAATAACTGTTCTATAAAAGTTATCTGATGTTTTGAATTACATGTATATAGAGAATATGTAAACCTAGAACAAGTAACCCACATATATATACGGAGTACACTCTTTGTAACCAGATCGGTGATGAATCCCATACTTCGTTCAGAGTGTTCATTCTCTTCTACACAAAGTTCTTTCCTACTGCGTACTACTCCACAAGAGCAAATATTAATTTGAAGAGTTGATGGATACTAAAAAAATCAAAAATCTTACCATGTACATTTATAAAAAAAAAACACAGTTATTCTCGTTTTCCTTATTTTACTTTGTGTTATGTTATTATTGATGCATACTACTATACTATAGCAAATGTTGATAGAAAAGATAAAAAAATCTTAAAAGATATTATTACACTTATACAAATATATTCAGTAATATTTGTTCTTCTTATTTTACTTTGTGTTATGTTATTATTGATGCATACTACTATACTATAGCAAATGTTGATAGAAAAGATAAAAAAAATCTTAAAAGATATTATTACACTTATACAAATATATTCAGTAATATTTGTTCTTCTTATTTTACTTTGTGTTATGTTATTAGTGATGCATACTACTATACTATAGCAAATGTTGATAGTAGCTCATGACATAAGCTCACTTGCCCTTCGGGCAGGTGAACTAATAAATATAAAAATTGATTACTAAGCCTGTCTAGTTGTTTTTGTGAGCAGGAAATGTATTAGTGTTTGCTGATACAACCTCATACTTATTGAAATCGCCGACTGTGGTTTGCACATCAGGGTATCATAGACAGACTTGTGTTTGGTTTTCCTTCTGGAAT